TCCATGACAAGGCTTGGTTTTTTCTCTAACCTAGAATGGCCTCTCTTCTCCCTTCTACTTCTCCAGCCCTGCATCCTTCAAGACCTATCTCTAGATCCATTTCTTGCATGTAGTCTTCTTTACTTTTTTTTTTACTTTTATTTTCTCTCTCTCTCTCTCTCTCTCTCTCTCTTCTCTCTCTCTCTCTCTCTCTATATATATATATATATATATATATATATATATATAAAATTTATTTATTTTTAGTTTTCAACATTTACTTCCACAAGATTTTGAATTCCATATTTTCACCCCATCTTGCCCCTCCCCCACCCCAAGATGGCATGCATTATGAATACTCCTTTCCCTAGTCTGCCCTCCCTTCTATCTCCTCCCCCCCTTTCTCTTATCCCCTTCCCCTTCTGTTTTCTTGTAGGGCAGTATAGATCTCCGTACCTCATTTCCTGTATGTCTTATTTCCCAGTTGCATGTGGAAACATTTTTTTTAAACATGTATTTTTAAAACTTTGGGTTCCAAATTTTCTCCCTTCCTCCCCCCCCCCCCCCCCTCATTGAAAAGGCAAGCAAGTCAATACAGGCCATACATGTGCAGTTATGCAAAACACTTCCATAGTAGACATGTTGTGAAAAACTAACTCTATTTCCCTTAATCCTATCCTGCCCCTGCCATTTATTCTATTCTTTCTTTTGACCCTGTCCCTCCTCAGAAGTACTTCCTTCTGATTACCCCTTTCCCAATCTGCCCTTCTCTCTGTCATCCCCCTGCTCTCTTGTCCCCTTCCTCCCCTATTTTCCTGTAGGGTAAGACAGATTTCCATACCCAGTTGAATATGTATGTTATACCCTCCTTAAGCCAAATCCTACGAGAATAAGATTCCCTCATTTCTTCTCACTTTCCCCTGTTTCCCTTCCACTGTAAGAACCTTTTCTTGTCTGTTTTGTGCAAGATAATGTACCCCATTCTACCTCTCCCTTTCTCCTTGTATAATCCTCTCTCACCCCTTAATTTTGTTCTCCAGATATCACCCCTTCATCTTCAACTCACCCTGTGCCCTCTATCTATCTATGTATCTATGTATCTATCTATCCATCTATCTATCTATCTATCTATCTATCTATCTATCTATCTATCTATCCATACATATAATTTTTCCCCTCCCACTACCCTAATACTGACAAAGGTCTCATGAGTTATAAATATCATCTTTCCATGCAGGAATGTAAACAGTTCAGCCTTAATAAGTCTCTTATGATTTCTCTTTCCTGTTTACCTCTTGAGTCTTGTATTTGAAAATCAAATTTTCTATTCAGCTCTGGTCTTTTCATCAAGAATGCTTGAAAGTCCTCTATTTCACTGAATGACCATTTTTTCCCCTGAAGGATTATACTCAGTTTTGCTGGGTAGGTGATTCTTGGTTGTAATCCTATCTCCTTTGCCCTCCAGAATATTATATTCCATGCCCTCAGTCCCTTAATGTAGAAGCTGCTAAATCTTGTGTTATCCTGATTGTGTTTCCACCATACTTGAATTGTTTCTTTCTGGCTGCTTGCAATATTTTCTCCTTGACCTGGGAACTCTGGAATTTGGCTACAATATTCCTAGGAGTTTTCCTTTGGGGATCTCTTTCAGGGAGATCGGTGGATTCTTTCAATTTCTATTTTGCCCTCTGGTTCTAAAATATCAGGGCAGTTTTCCTTGATAATTTCTTGAAAGATGATGTCTAGGCTCTTTTTTTGATCATGGCTTTCAGATAGTCCAATAATTTTTAAATTCTCTCTCCTGGATCTATTTTCCAGGTCAGTTGTTTTTCCAATGAGATATTTCACATTGTTTTCTAATTTTTCATTCTTTTGGATTTGTTCTACTGTGTTGTGATTTCTCATAAAGTCACTATCTTCCAATTGCTCTATTCTAATTTTTAAGGAAGTGTTTTCTTCAGTAAGCTTTTGGACTTCCTTTTCCATTTGGCTAATTTTGCTTTTTAGGATATTCTTCTCTTCATTGGCTTTTTGGACCTCTTTTGCCAATTGGTTAGGCTATTTTTTAAGGTGTTATTTTCTTCAGTATGTTTTTGGGTCTCCTTTAGCAAGCTGTTGACTTGTTTTTCATGATTTTCTTGCATCACTTTCATTTCTCTTCCCAGTTTTTCCTCTACTTCTCTTACTTGCTTCTCAAAATCCCTTTTGAGCTCTTCCAAGGCCTGGGACTGATTCATGTTTTTCTTGGAGGCTTTGGATGTGGGAGCTTTGACTTTGTTGTCTTCTTCTGGTTGTATGTTTTGATCTTCTTTGTCACCAAAGTAAGATAATATAGTCTGACTCTTTTTGTGAGGTTTGCTCATGATCCCAGCCAACTACTTGAGTTTTAAACTCTTTGTTAAGGTAAAAGTCTGCTTCCAATGTGGAGAATGTACTGTCCCAAGCTTCAGGGGTTTGTATAGCTGTTCTAGGGACCTGTAAATTTTCAGTTCTTCCAAGGTGGTATGATGAGGGTTGAGGTGTTTACTCTTTTCCTGGCCCGAGCTCTGGTCTTTGAGTGACTGGCCACAAGCAGTTTTTCTCTTGGAACTGTGAGGAGGGTTTCCTCTCACACCACTACAAGCTCCACTGCCAGCTCCTCCTCACCCCAGAACCGCCACCCAGAACTGTGACCCAGATCCAAGTACGGGCAAAGCAAGAGATTCCTGCCTCAGCACCAGCAAAGAGATCCCTGCAATCCCCCTCTGATCAGCTTCTTGATTCCCCCCTCAGTCTGTGGACCAGGAGCTCAGGACACAGCCATGGCCTGGCACCCACGCTCTGCGCTCTGGAACTGGCTCTGACCTAGCTCTTTTCTCACTGCAAAAACAGACTTTTCCCACTGACCTTCTAAGTTGTCTTTGGCATTCGTGGATTGAGGAGTCTGGAAGTTGCCGCAGCTGCCTGTGATTCAGTCCTCTGAGGCCTGCTTTAAGTTCGCTGCGGCCTTCGCGCCCACACGGAACTGCACTCCTCTCCCCACCCTGTGCGATATGCGTTTCCGATCAACCATCCAGGCTGTCTTGGGCTGGAAATTTGTTTTACTCTGTCTTCTTTTTGTGGGTTCTGCTGCTTTAGAATTTGTTTAGAGCAATTTTTTTGTGGGTATTTGGAGGGGTTTGGGGGAGAGTTCAAGCAAGTCACTGCTTTCACTCTGCCATCTTGGCTCTGCCCCCTATTGTTACACTTTTCAGTGGGCAAGGACTCTTAAGGATCCTGCCACCTTAGATAGGTACAGTTAAAGTTTATAGAGGATAAAATACAATAAAACATATGCAAAATATGCTAACTAGGTGATTCAGGGTGCGATTAGGGAGTGGTTAAGGAGTGGTCATTTCTTAAAAGAACATGCACTTCTGGTACCTACTGTGCAGGCATTTTACCCAGAGTTCACTAGGAAAAGCCCTCAAGGGGGGCCACATGGAGGTGTGGTTTTAGGCCTGCTACATCACTAAGTTAACTAGAGTTCAGGGTAACAGAGAGTTGTCCAGTCTGCCACCAGTCAATGTCTTATTTGACAGGATAGATGTAGGGATTATCCATATGTCTTAAGTCTAGAATACAGTTAATGAGGATTCCAGGATGTAGATAATGAGGTAGGGCAGTAGTATAGATAGTCCAGTGGGTAAGAATGTCTGTATGACCCAGTGCAAAGCCAGTTCAAATTAATAATTCTTTCAGGTGCTGTTTGTAACTGCATCAGGGAAAGAGATAAGGGTCTTGATGGGGCCCACTCATGAGGAACTGCTAATCACAGTGTCCTTGGGCTGGGGAGAAACTGACAGAGATAGTGTTTCTGAGGCTAGGGAGAAATTGCGGTCCAAGTATAAGCACTCAAACATAATCACCTAAGCATCCCCATCATATGCATGTATTTGTGCATGTGTATACACACATATCTAAAGATCTAAATGACATAAGATCTGCCAACTTTTTATAAGATCTGTTGCTCTATTTCTAAATCCTTTAATATTCTAAAAGATTGACCTTTCTTTGTTTATTTGATTTTGTTTTTTTCCTAAAATGATTCCTATACCACATCATGAAGAAATGGGTGTATCCTGATAGTGATGGTAAAATAGGAACAACTCACACTGGTACTTTTTTGAATGTATATCTTTTTTAAAAGTTGCTTGTTTGTAAGTCAGTAACTGTCTTCACCATAAAACCTTGATTAATCAGAAGCCAATTGATAATGATCCTTAACCAAAATTCTTTTCTTTTCTTTTTTTTTCCTATCTCACTTCAGGAAAAAAAAATGTGAGGCAACTATAGATTTTTGGAATGTTGCTTATACTATTGTTGATGAGTTGGTTTTGCAAAATTTCTTTTTATTTTTAAATCTTTGTTACAAGAGATGGCTTATGGCATGAGGAAGAGGGTAGGGGTATATTAAGAAATGACGGTGAAGAAAAAACTAAGAGCTAATAAAGCAAATCATAAGAAAATTTAATAATATCTAGGTTCTATTAAAATCATTTTCTACAAGAAATTCTATGGTTATTGTGCCTATTGCCCAATCTCTTTCTGCTGCACCTATTATTTTCTTCATTTAAAATCCTAGGCAGTGGCTAGCAATGCTAAGAATCATACTACTAAGGTTCTAAAAGAACCTTAACCATAAAGAAAAATTCAATTATGTTCATTAAATTGCCTTTAATAAGACAAAAAAATTCATTAATGTAATTAAAAAAAGAAACAATCCAAAACAAATTAAAAATAAGCAAAGGAGTTAAAGGCCAAAATATTTTCAGGTTAACATTGCCTTATCTTGAATTATGAATTATACACTCTGATCATTCTGATGTTCAAATTCTTCCCATATATATGTACTCAAATCCAAAACTTAGATTACAAAACTCTACTCACCTGTACTATCTTATCTAGTTTAGGAAATGGGAATTCTCATTTCAGTTCTTTTTCTGTGTGTATGTCATCCACTGAGTGTGCACTCTCTGATCCATGTGATCTTTGTCTTCCAGATGGCATGCCTTTTACATGGTGGATTGGAAGAGCCAACGAAAGGCATCCCTACTGGGGAGGTTCCCTTCCTGGAGTTCAGCAATGTGCATGTGGGCTGGAGGAGAGTTGTGTGGACATGAGGCACTTCTGTAATTGCGATGCAGACAAAGAGGAATGGTAAGACGGTTATTTGCTTTTAATTCTAATTTTTGAAGGAGCCATGGCTGGGGAAACTTGACATGAGATACTGCTAAAGTTTAGTTTCCACATCCTTAGCTTTAAAACTTCTTAAAGAATTGCTAGCTTTTGTAATTGTTCAAAATTATTAGTGAAGTTTACAACAAAAATAAAACACGTTGTAAGAATTATATATCTTTTCTTGGTATTCTGAAGTTTCCCTGTTGTGCATTATAGTATTTGAGCATGCTTCTGTTGTAAGTATTTGCGAATATGATATCTCTTTGTGAATTAGATCAGCCTTCTATAGTGTATGAAATAAGGATATTGAGTTTTTGTTTGTTTTTAATTTTTTAAGCAATTGGTATGTTTTTCTCTCTATTCTTCCTTGACCAATGACATAATCATCAGTCAGTTCTCCACGCTAACAAAAAGAGATTCCAGCCAGTTTTGTATAATGGTAAAAATATTTTGTTTCAGGAGACCTGGTTTTAAATTTGAGCTCTCACACTAGTTGTGAGACTGTGAGTCTGTTACTTCACTGCTCTAAGCCAAAACGAACTCATCTGTAATATGATGATAGTAGGTATAATATCTATCTCTAAGATTTGCTGTGATGAAAGGACTTTGTAAATCTTAATTCATTGTATAATTATGTGTGGTTAGTATTATATATACAATAAGATAACTCTTCAAAGTTCAAAAGCAAACTAACCAATATGGATGTGTCCTGAATTAAGGTCAAAAATACGTGAAAATTGTATAGTTCATCTTTCAGGAATTATGTTTTAATATTAATACTTGATTAATAATTCATCATGGAAAAATTTGTATGTTGTATCTATATGAGAAGTGACAGCATAGTAGAAATAGAATTGTTCTTCATATTAGAAAAAAAATTAAAGTATATTCAAATTTTGTCTCTCTACCATAATAATTGTATGGCCCTTGGCAAGTCAATTAAATCCTCATTGTCCTGAGAAAACTTTTATGATAATTAATTACAGAGAGTCTCAAATTTTGATTTGATAAGAGTCTTCAAACATCATATATTGGGGCAGCTAAGTGGTGCAGTGGAGAGAGCACCGGCCCTGAAGTCAGGAGGACCTGAATTCAAATCCAGCCTCAGACCAAACACTTGACACTTACTATCTGTATGACCCTGGGCAAGTCACTTAACCCCAATTGCAAAAAAAAAAAAACCACCATTTATTACCCTTCACTGATAAAATCACAAGTCTTGGCCTGTCCACATGATCACTCCCTCTCAAAAAAAAACAAACAAGTCTAGATAAGGAAGTGTACATTATTGAAATTATTTACTCTACATATTAGCCAACCTCTAAAACATCAGTTAGGCTTCAGAATACTTTTTTAATTAAAAAAAAATCAATTGAATACCCACTAATTCTTTTCTGGGACTAATTTAATTGTTAGGGAATATTCTTTATTTAAATATTCACTTTAATTTCCACTTATTTTTCATAATTCTGCTCTTTGGGCCTAAGCAGACTAGTTCTAATCCTTCTTTCACAGACTAACCTTTCAATGATTTGTAGACATTTTTCTCCTGTCTTCTATTCTACAGGTTAAATGAATATTGTTTCTTCAACCAGTATTCATAAAATGGTTTCAGGTCTTATAACCATTCTAATCACCCTCCAGTATTATTTAGAATTCAATACAGTATTCCAGATATGCTGTGATGAATATGAATTGCATCTTCTATTGTATCATTGATTCAGAATTGGAAAAGGTCTTAGAGTCCATCAATGCTCTCCATCTCATTTTAGAAATAAGAAAGCTGAGGCCTAGAGAGGTTCAGTGACTTGTCCAAGGCTTCATAGGTCCTATGACTCCAGTTAGAGTGCTCTTTCCACATGCTATGTTTGCTATCCTTTTGACCTAGATAATATCCTTCTCTCAATCAGCCTAAGATCACATTAAGATTTGTTTGTTTTTTGGCTACCATGATGTGACAGTATTAGCTGATATTGAGGTTTTTATTTTTTGGTTTGTTGTTTTTGGTGGTGATTTGGACCTATAATTTCTTTGGCATATAGATTTGGAAAAGCAGACACTCAATAGACTGATGTATATTGGTACCTACTCTGTAATGTATAGTCTTTTTTGTCCGAAGTTCTCAGAATTTGAATATCTTGCCCAGAGTCACAAAGCTTATATGTATTAATTTAGACTAGAACCTAGATCTTCTTATGGACAGTTCTCTGTCCATAATACTACCTTGTTTCTTATACTGAGTTAATAATTAAGAAGAAACTTTAGTGAAATGAACATTTTCTAGTCAAACAGCCTGTATTTGTGTGATTGATATTTTTGAGAGAATCTAAGTTCAGAACTTTATATTTAGCCCTATTAAATTTACAATTATCCTTACTAAATGTCATTGTATTAGGTTCAGCTCACAGTTATGACCTATCAAAATCTATTTGGATCCTAATTCGGTCATCCAAAGTGTTAGATATCCATCCCAGAGCTGTGTCATTTGTAAAGTTGCTGAGCATGCCATCTCAGCCTTCATTCAAATCACTGACAAAAATGTCAGACTGAACAGGAGAATGCACTTCTGCTAGGAGAATAGGTCCTTCTTTATGACTTGCAGACTTTGCTCCCTCCCAAAATTCTACATTCCAATTTCTAGGTGCCTGAGTAGTCAGTGGCATGGTTTCCAAGGTAGTATAGGCCACTCATCTAGGTGCTCAGGAAAGTTAGTGTATTTTAAATATATTAGAAAAATCCCTTCTTGGTATCCTTGATGATGGATAGAGAACAGGTCACTGAGTGATTATATTAATGATACTCCCTAAAAACACTTTCCTATGTAATTTTCCTTCTACTTCCAATAAGATCTCTCTCTTTTTTCTGTCTCCTTCTTTGTCTCTGTCACTCTTTATCTCCCTCCCTCTTTTCTCTCTGTCTCTTACTATATCTATATCTATATCTATATCTATATCTATATCTATATCTATCTATCTATCTATCTATCTATCTATCTATATATATATCTGGCTATCTACCTCAGAAAAGCTAGAAGAAAAGAGACATTCAAATATTATTTTTCCTTAGAGGGAGTGTTGTAATTCTCATATAGTATCACAAGTACCAGCATAATTGCTCTGGTTTTTACTGATACAATAAATCTAAAAATAGGAGTCTTTGTGCTGCTTCTTGATCAGGAAAAATTCTGTGTGTGTGTGTGTGTGTGTGTGTGTGTGTGTGTGTGAGAGAGAGAGAGAGAGAGAGAGAGACAGAGAGAGACAGACAGACACACAGACACACAGACAGACAGAGGAGGAGGTGGGGGGGATGTTCTCTGACAATGGTTCTCCTCATGGTAGAGAGATCAAAGTTATGAGGCCCTGGATTGGCAGCCCTTAATAGCTAGCATATATATAGCACTTTAATTTTTATGAAGTTACTATTTCCATTTTACAGATGATATAACTGAGGCAGACAGAGGTTAAAACACTTTCTCAGGGCCACATACCTATTAAATGGCTAAGGCTAGATTTGAACCCAAGTCTTCATGACTTGGTTCAGATCTTTATGCACTATGTGTATATACTAAGTGCTTCTATAAAGAATCATATTATATGGTTTATATTGCACAGAAGATAATTGGGCATATGTAGTTCACATTTTATGCAGAAGTCAAGATGCCTACTTAGTTAACTTAGGAAGGCTAGTTCTTTCACTGTTAAAGAACTAGGTCTAATTCTTCAGTATTGCCATTTTTTAGGAGAGCTCCAGTTTGATATATGTGATGATTTGTTGATGATGTGCATGCCTGTTCTCTTAGTCACTAAGATCACCAAGGAATCCCAGCAAAGACAAAGTACCAAAAAGTAGAAAATTGCGATGGAATCACTTAGGGGAGGGGTTCTGTTTATTGTCACTTCTTTTTTTTTTCCCTTTCTTTCCTATTCAAAGAGAAAAAAAATGTAGTTTGCAGATAAATTGGGAACCTGAGGAAAATTGGATTGGTATTATATCGTGGAGGACCTTGAATATCCAGGTAAAGGAATTTGAAGTTTATTGGATATGTAGAACTGAGTCATTGGAGAATTTTGAGCACTGGAGTGATATAAACACAACCATTTGTAAGAAAGGCTGTTTGAATAATTTTCTGAATAGTGAAATGGTGATGGGAAAGAAGAAAGGCAGAAAAAATAGGAGGTATTTGAAATATTCCAGCAAGTTTGTAATGAGCTTTAACGGATGATTGGTTGAGCAGGATGTAGACAGTTGCCCCAAATTCTACATTAGTTACTGATAGAGACAGAACTAGAGCCCAGGTCATCTAACTTGGTGTCCCTACATCATTTATCCTTTCTGTACTTGCAACTCTTCTAGGCATTAGCCAAATCCCCATGAAACTCAATATCAATAGCATAAGTGGTTTAAACCCCACATTATGTAGTTCACTGCCTTTATTAACCTCCATCCAAATTATTGTTCAAAGAAGACTCATGTGAAGTCAATATCTCCTTACAATGGCACTTACAGATGTGGAATTGTAGAAAGGATGCAGTTTTATTTAGAGGTTATCCTTTACCAAGTTATGAATCAATCACCCAACAAGCCAGAGAAGGGAAATTGCCTTTTCTGCTTTCTTTGCCTGCAATCTACACGAATTCTCAATTCACAATATGTCCTCTAGAATAAGGCTAAATCTAGCAGAGTAACTTGTTCTAGATGAGAAAGGAAGCCAGGGTATTCTGTTTGTCAGTCTCATTAGGGAACTGAGGCTAAGCTCCTGCTTTTGCTATTCTGTGTTTTACTTGTCTAAGAGCAAGAAATCATCTTCTGATCTCTGGTTTCAGGGAAAAGAAATCCTTACAGAGGTAGCTTAAGTTCTACACAGGCTGACATGGAGTGAAATAGCTTTGTCCATTCTACGATTTAAATCCCTGACAGAAAGGAAGCAGTCACACTAGGAACCTGCTGGGAAATGAACTGAGTTTGAAATGTTCATTTAT